CTACCTCGGCTGGAGCTTAAACCATCCCTAGCCCAAGGAAGTGGCTCACGCAACGGAGCGTTCCCGGTGATCAACTCTTCTTCGTGGGGCCGGCGCAGTTCCTGCAAGTTTCAGAACTATTGCCGAGTCTTATGAGGCCACGACTCAGGCTGCTTCTCAACTTCTTGGGTCCCTCCGGTTTGATTCACCTTTGGGGCAGGCAACAGTCGGCAACAGTTGCAGTAGAGCCAAAGGATGCGAGAGACCACCTCTGGCACTAGCTGGCACTAGCTTGTTTTGTATGGCAGCCATGCTGGAACCATGAAGGCTAATGCAGGTGTGTGGTTTGTAGGACCCCTAGAATCTCGCGGCGACTACAATCATAGACTCTGGTGACCAACGCGGTCTTTGTAATTGTACCTTCAGGCTTTTCCCTGAGACTCCCTGAGATGATTCCTGTCCTTTCAGACTCTCGAGTCCCAAACCTGAAGCCCTCCAGTTCTCAACAGATTCTAATCTAATTTGCCAAATCCCGAAACCTCCAGATCTTCTGCGGAAACGGGGCTCAGCTGCCCGTCCGCAGTGCTCCTCGGATGAGCTATGTGCCGGGTTCTTTTGTGACACGTTGTGGAGACTAGGTAGCAGGCATGCCAGTCCCGACTTGTCGTACTCGTCAGTTGCCAGATAAGCACCTCACATGTTTTCAAGATTTCAGGTATGGGGGTTGAAGATGGTTGAAGCATGATGATGGTGATCTCATGCTTTCTCCGATCCATTGGTGGAGCATGTTCAGGAATCGCCCTCCTCGAAGATGTGTGAGAGCGTGCTGATCCCATGCGATGCTCGGGGGCTCAACTGGTTAACCCCATGGTGCCTGAAGTCTGGAAAGCGACACGCTGAAGCCCTGACCTCCCTGAACGTGAACCATTCACCCCGAATGCAGGAGGGCTTTGATTTAGGGATAATGAAGTCTACGCAAAGTGTGCAGGGGGCTGCTGAACGCAGCGACCAGGGACAGGGCATAGTTTATGACGGGCAAGTACACGCAACCTTATACAGAGTAGTCCTGTTGAGCTCGTAAGTAGAAGCCCTAAGCCCGCCCACCGCCCCCGCTGCCTACTTTCGGCTCTGGGCGCTGGTGGGAAGTAGGCTCCAGTGTGCCGGGCTCAGAGAGCTCCAACTTTGGGACTTCCTTGGGGCTCCGGTTGCCGCATTCTTGCCTGGGGAATATGAGGGTTTGTGGTTTGGATTTTGGACTTACAAGAGTGAGATCCGGATGGTAGACTCAGGGCTTCATTTTTGAAAGGACCGTCACGGTGGCTGATGTCAGAAGATAGCCTATTCTTTGTTACATAGTTGCTTTCTTTGCTTTGTCTTGGCTGTATCCAGTAGTGTCAAGCAGGGGCTTGTAAAGCCACGTATGTACGTAAGTTTGTATGCAGGAATGGGGACACCATCTGCTTTCTGACGCCTGCAGTTCATAAAGCAACAGCGGTGTGTACCCCACTCACTTCTTGCCCCTGCTATCGGGACTTGCAAGCCCTAAATCCCAATCCCCCAGCAGCAAAATAACCCCCCAAATCCGTCATCAAGCCATGCTGAGGCACTGTCCGCTTGAAAGCAGAAGTTTTTTCATCGAGATGAGCGACTACTTATCCACAGGCCATTGTGTCCTAACCTTGTGAGTCTGGGGCAGGATGGGCCGGCATCTGCAATGCCGTACACATGTTTGACATGCCCTGCCATGAAGAACTGAACTATGAGTACCAATTCTGGAAGACCCAGGGGTCGATGCATCGGACCGGGTCTCTTCTCAGCGTTTTACAGGCGGCGTTCGCTCGCCCGAGATTTTGATCAACACGTCGAGCTCTTGTACTTGCTTGTGCTTGCAAGAGAGCCAGTACTCGACTGTAGGAGTGGGTAGGATGCAACTTTGCAGTTGCACTTGCTGTCAACACATTGACATGTGGTCAGTAACCGCCCGACAATCTCAGTTAGTCAAGCACATGGAAAAGGGCACCACTATGCGCGTGCAGTCTTCGAACGCAGATCAGCTTAAGTCAGCTGAACGCACGCCGTGCGGAGTGTTCCATGGAGTTGATTCACTAATGGCTCGACAAGCATGGCATGGAATGGTTTTGGCCTCATCTGGAGCCCCCTAACAAGTAGATACGGGGTCGTCGAATGATTTTCAGTTGCGAAAGCAATTTCTGAGTTGCCTTCCGAAAGGAAAACTTAGCACTTAGCTGGGCTCCGAGTGATCCACCCAACACCCCAAGGGTACTAAAAAAGAACCTCCCCAATTCTCGCGGAGCTACGGCATCATGCAGCTGCATGCCCAAGGCCTCGACCTCGCGCGTCCACGCCTGTTTCGAAAGATGAGCTCTTCTTGGAAGGCACGCAGCTTGGGGATGCTCCGGGGCCGCCTTCGCGAGAAGCATCGTAAGTCCTTGTTCGCCACTTCGAGGGGTCTTGAGAGTTGAGTGCCTTGGGGCCTTCGCGAATCTCACGAAGACCTGAACCACTGGCAGTTGGCCCTGCTGTGTGTGCGTGTGAGCGTCGAAAGAAAGCCTCCTTCTGCGCCTGGGGCACACCTTGGGGCCTTGGGGTTTCGAGGCTACGGCCGGCAGTTCGGGGAGAAGATGACCTACAGCGCCCCTCGGTTGAACCCTTTCGTCTGGCGCTTCCAGAGTTCAAGGTTTTGGGTAGAGCGTGCGAGGGTGCTTTGGCTGGCCAGAGCTTGAGGAGACAGGCCCGGACTCTGGTAGACCTGAAGCCAGAAGCCGTGCAGAGTACCTAACCGTTGGACCTAACCCTGAAACCCATGCGCCCTGAGACCAGATGATGCCGTACAGTGCAAATTCTGTGCTGAAAGTCCCACTCTTCTCTAGACCGGACCAAATCAGTATGGTTCTTATGATTACTGCAAGTGGCTTTGGTCTTAGTTATGTTCAGGGCCGTGGCCTGCATGATTGTACTATGGCATGCGGCTCAGGGTTTAGGGTGTAGGGTGCTACAGTGCTACAGTGTTTCTTGTTTTTGCATCGCTTCTGAAAGACCTCAAGCCCACCGCAAAAGCAGAACACCTTGCTACTTGGGCCACAGTGGGTTGTCGCGTACTTCAGGACCCGCACTTTCGCTTGCGAGTAATTTGCAAATGCCTCAAACCATCTGCAGCCCTAGGGCCCTGATGAGCGCCAAGCCCTGAGCCCCCCAAGGTCGGGATGACCTATGGGGCCGGCCTGCTCACTGGTGCGGCCCTCTTGCGGTGTAGAGCTGTGGGGGGTTTGTAGGCGATGGGAGGAGAAGCCTGCTTCGGGCCGTGCTGGGGTTGTCAATATATTTTTTCCTATCCCAAGTGCCATGAATGCTTCTGGCACGTGATGTTCCGTGCTGACCCTGAAGCCTGGCGGGGCCTAAAGTGTGGCCCCAAATTCCTCTGCCCTTCTCCAGGAGGCGTCTATGGAGGACTCCTTGGTGTCCGACAAGGCTCTTATAGGACTCCTGTGGAGCCGCTGTCCCTGATAACCCAAGCCTCAAGGTTTTACAAGACGTGGGGGGGGGGGGGGGGGGGGCACTCTGAACACGACATGCAAACCCCATCTACACAGTAAGGAGGACCAAGTGTCACAAGTGGTGAGTCTTGGCCACGGAGACTTCGGGTTCTTGAGCCAGCGTTCGTGGCGTTCGGCTTGTTTTTATCTTGTTTTGCAAGGTGCTTAGGGTCCATGTACTCCTGTAGTTCGCATATCCGTGTGGACGATTTTCATGCGGAACCGGGGGGTGTTCACGGTGGTTCCGGAAGCGGGCCAAGTCTCGCAGTAAGCGCTGCTTGGCATGAGTTGAGTTGCCAAACAAAGTGACTGCTCGTAGGTTCGGATGGATGAGGGCAAACGCTTCTAACACCATGTCCCACAGACTTGGGCTCAAAAAACGTGCCCTTGCTTGGCGACGGCCCACCAAGATGGTCACTCCAGATCCTTGGCGGGGGTCAGTTTCAGGTCCTCTTCATGCGGCCTCCGTTCATGGGGGAAGATTTGTTGGCCTCTCGCAAATCCCTCCGCTCCCCAAAATTGTTCAGAGCCATGCTGCAGAACCCCCGAGATCCTGAAACCCAAGCTCCTTAATAGCCCTTGTAATAAGCATTTCGGGCCGTTTTAACGTTAAAAATACCATGAAAAACCCAAGTTCCTCAAACCGTTTTTCAGCACAAGGAGGTGACTACACCGCAGGCCGCGGCGCCGAAAGGCTCGTCGGTCTGCGCCACTTGGCGGGGATGCTTGTGATCGAGGTGTACGGGTGTTGAAAATTGTAGCGATTAGGCTTGCCTTATACTAACCGTCCTTGATAGGCATTATAATACCCCCCCCCCTTTCTAATCCTCATCATTCTAGGGCTTGAGTCCGTGCGCTCAGGCGTTGCTGTCGGTGTTGGTGGCGGCGATCTCGATCATGATCTTCGGCTTTGCGCTGGGCTTCACGAGCCCGGCCTTCCGGACGGAATTACTCTGGAGATGTGTTTGTCCAGGGCAACGGATTGTGAGGGCTTGGGGCCATTGAGGGTTAGCAGGAGTGTCTGGGGGATGCACTGACGAAGCATTTCCTGCTAGATAGCCCCCCTGAAACTGGCTGGTGCCCCGTTGTCAGACTCTTTGCCATGCCCAGGGTCCCGGCGCGCGCCGGAATCTCATGATATACGTCTACCTTCAACTCAAGAAGCTAAGAAGCTAGTTAGCTGCTTCTGGCGTTCGTTTGGGAGTGCGTTGCATGGCAGAGTCGGCTGCCTTTCGTGAAGCTCTGAATTCCGGACCGAACCCCAAAAAGATTCAGATGTTGAGTAAATTGCCGGCACGGGTAGATAACGTGGGCTGCAGCTCAAGATGCGACCTTCCCAAGTGCAAGGGCCCCTAAGGGCTTCACCATGGTTCTTGAAAGAGATAGCATCGGGCAGGGCCTGGAACCATTTGGCAGCCTTCCTTTCCATGCAGTGAGCCAGCCACAGCCGCAAAGGCTATTGCCACCATGCAAGACACGGTGAGACTTTCGGCAGCGCTTGGGTCTTCTCCTGCAGCTCACACGACGAACTTCTGGGAAAAACATGGTATCGTAACGATGAAATCGTTTGGTCGCTTGGGTATTCTGGTGTTGACAAGCAGCTTTGTCCGGATGGGAACTGAGGGTGACCCTGAGGGTGTTTGGCACCAAAGAACGAGCTTCCTCAGACTTCAACGGGGGTTTTGCGCCGTGCAGTGTTGATGTTTAGCTTGGATGCTGGAGTAGAAGTTTAAGAGATTGCCTCTGGATCAGTCGGTCATATCAGATGCTGGCAGCACATGGGATGAGCCTCTCATGGCAAATCGCTCAGGACAGGATGGGAAGTGGATACCGGCACCGTCGGACCTGGTAGTCTTCCAGACTTCAGACCACAAGACTTCGGCACAAGGCACGTTGAAAGTTTAAGAGGAAGGTGTTCCGTCAACGCTGGAGGAGGGGATGTGCACCAGTTTTTGCGGTCAGGAGGTCTGTGGAGTCGATGCACCTCTCATCAAAACAGCGTGATCTCCTTCAACATGCACATGCGCTGTTCCGTTGGGTTTCGAAAACAGTTGCTGCCGTCTTGGGCTTCCTCCGGTCTAGTTCCTACTTGCAAATTTAACAAACTGTGCAAACTTTTCGTGAGACCTTTTCGCTAAATGCCCAAGCCCTCAACAAACCTGGAAAGCACGAGAGGCTCCCTCTTCAGCTCCATCATCAACATTGGCGCCCTGGTGGGGGCACTCTGTGGAGGTGGCCTGGGTAGCGATGGCCTTCCTAGGTTGACACTGTAGGCATTCAGAGTATTGCAGTGAGTTTAGAGTCTAGTCCCGGGTTCTAAATGAGGGTTTACAGAGAGGATGAATCTGACTGCCTTTGAAGGTGTCAAGGGGACTTCTTCTGCTGAGAGTCGGGGGTTTGGAGATGCAGTAGGCTCGCAACGGTTAGCAGGACCTGCAGTAGCGATTTCGATGGCAAGCGTTTGAGCAGGTGCATTTGCCTCTAGGTTTCCCGAGGGCTCCGTAGGATTACAGGTACAAGAAAACAACATTCGGCTGTGTTGCTTGACAAAATGTTTATTTTGGTTCTTCTTTTTTAACATGATGAATAGTATTGCTGTCATTATTGTGTCCTTATATCTCTTGTTGATATCATGAATCGTGAATATTACAGCTGAGCGGCCTTGTGGCCTTGCGCTGAGGTCCGCTGAGCCAGTTCTCGCCTCAGTGCCGGAAAGAATCCTCCTGAGCTTAGCCTGCAGCACCCGCCATAGTGTGTGAGTGCACTGGCAGTGGGCCCTTGTGATGTACTGCAAGAATCAGAACACATTGCCTGTGGCCCCAAATTCTGGATGACCACCTGCGGTGCGTTGAAACACTCCTGGTGCCTTGTTGTGGTGGGAATACTGTTTTTGAACGACTGGTTCAGATCCAAAGCAAATGGCACTTTTCACACCACAAAGTCCCACCACTTTTGCACAGCATGTACTATGTCCAGGCAGATTGGCCGGAAAGGGGCCATGCTCTTCATGGCGCCCTTGTTTGCAGGGCGCCTACAATGAACCAGCAGCTGCCAGTGAGTTTTGCTGCGTTGTCACAGCTTTTTGATGTGTTGCAGGCAGACAACTTGATGTTGCTAGTTATGGCCTTACTGGCTGGCAAGCTCGCCGGGTTGATATTCGTGGTGTTGTTGTCGTTCCTGTTCAACAAGTACCTGAGAGCTTCTGAGTGTTTTTGTATTTGGGATTCCTGCAGTCGCGGAGTTCAGGCTTTGACCTGGTATGTGACATCGATCGGCACTGGGTTCGCAGTGCTGCTGCCCGGCGAAAACATGTGTGCCGTAGAATGGTTGGTAGTGGTCGATACCAGAGCCGAGAACGAGCTCGTACGGTTTGTCACAGACCCTCAGAAACCCCCCAAACCAGGCCCGAACCCTACTCCCTGGCTCTTCGCGCCTGCAAGGATGACTGCGCGCCTTCTCCTGGGAGTTGGTATCGGTGCGCCTGGCCATGCTTAACCCCCGTGGCAAGGAGTTGCAGGATTGCTCTATATGTTGCTCTGCTTCAATCGAAGTATGCCGTCGATGTTTCAATTGCATATGCAGCATCCTTGAATAGACCCCATCGAAAACGCGAAGCCCTGAACCCACAAAAACGGGAACCAGTCCTGCGGGACAGGTCTCAGTAGCTGCGCACCTCGGCAGAATCAACCGGGCAGTCCGTGCGAGCCCATGCAATGCAGGTTAGAATCTCATCTCAGAAGAAGTCAATGATTTTCAGGGCGGTGTTTCGGGTTTGTTGGGGCATCTGTTGTAGTAGCTCGTGCAGCATTGAGTTGAGGCAGGTTGGGTGTTGCAGCCTTTGGGCCGCGACAGAAACCCAACGAGACCCACCAAACCTTAAACTCCAAAAGCACAGCTGGGTTCTCCTTCAGGTGGTGCCAACCTACATCAATGAAGTGTCGCCCACGCACCTTCGTGGAGCCTTTGGCGCCATCTTCCAGCACCTGGGTTCGAATGTGTGGATTTCGGAGGTGCATTGATCGTGTTGTATGGGACGTCTGGATGTTTGCAGGAATTCGTGGAATCGTACTGGAGTTGTTGCAAGGATGTAAGTGAGTTGTGCTCCCGAGCCCTAGGCAATGGTCGGTTTAGAGTGAGGGGTTTCGAACTCGGGCCGTGGCATATAGAGGCATACTCAGATTGGAGGCATCGACTTGCCCCATACTTCCGCTCACAACTTTAGGGGTTAAGGAGTGCGGCTGATGGCGGCGTAAATAGGTCTTGGGTCCAGGGCCCAGGGTGTTGCCGTGTTGGGCGGCAAGCCTGTCCGATTCTCCGAGCTGCTACGTCAAGCTTTGGTTGTGCAGGGCTCTGATGTCAGGATGGCCTGTGTGGTTGGAATCATGGTCTGCTACCTGCTGGGGGAGGTGCGTCCAAGCTGCGTTGGTCCCCTCAGCCATACGAAAGGTGTTCCCACTCAGGGAATCTTAAGGTAACATCCGCTTGCTAATTACTACACGCAGGCCATGTGGAGGTTGTGAGCTCCAAGGATTTACAGATTCCGGATAGCACTGCGAGCAGGTTTCTATGCATGTCTCTGTGCTCAGACGCTGTGAAGCCCGGGAGCCAGCAAAGGATCGAGGTGAATAGCGGTGGCCACAGCTTCTGCCAGTGGCGCTATTTGGCACCTGGGACCAGAAACTCACCCACCCAGTCAAGCCGAGACCCGCCATTTCCGTAAATTCGAGGAATTCCTAAAGATCACAGCCAAAAACCATACAACCACCTGGTCTGGCTGTATAGCAAGGTGGCTAAGGCTTTAAGGGCATGTAGGGATCAGGGTTAGCATTCTTCAAGCAGACAAACAAGCAAACAACCAAAACGTGCGTGCAAACCAACAAACCAACAAACACCCCAAACCAAAATCAAAGAAACGAAACAACAAGCAACAAACAAGCAAGAAAAAAATTAGGGGGGCTTGCCATTGGTCTTACAAAACCTTTTTTTGCCTTGGCTGTCCAAGGCCTTGGTCCCCCTAGCGCTGGCGGCCTCTCTGTTCCTATTCGCGCTGGTGATCCCCGAGTCGCCGCGATACTTGGCGACCCGCGGGGCATTTGGGAACTTTGGGTTTGGGGCTTTTGGGGGGTACTTCATGGTACGATTCAGGGATGGGGGCGGGAGGGCGTTTAGGAGAAAACTTAGGCTGCTTGAGGCTTGGGGCCCGGGCCAGTGAGTTTGGGTTCACCTTTAAACTTTGACAACCATGGGGGCCAGCATTCCCCCAAGCATCTGATCCAGAAGCTGACCTTGGGTTGGCTCCATGCATGCAGGCAGCCCGGGGAAAGGCAGATGCTGCGCGCATGGCGTGTCCAGGTCGCAGTGGATGAACTTCCCCAGCTAAGCCCCTTAAGTGCCCAATCCAAAAGTCGTATTGACTCGAAGGCTTCTCGTAAGAAAGGCAAAGCTATGAATAATCGTGACTGATGGAAATGGGGATGCATCATAGAACCGCAAGGTGGTGCTCTTGTTGGTTTGGGGGGGGGGGGGGGGGGCTGAGGGTCAAAGAGATCCAGTTTGCACAGACGGTTCCTGTGCTGATGCTTTCGACGTTTCCGGACTCCAGGCTGGCAAAACTCCGTGGCGGTGCCCAATTCATCGGCAGTGAGCTTGAGGAGAGAACCTCCAAAACCCAAGCTGCATGGATCCGCGAAACCTAGACTATAGGCTGAACACGCCCGACTCTTGAAGCCTCGTAGGTCCAGAGCTTGTTTTGGAACTCGACATGTCTACTTCCCGTCGCGTCTTGAGTTTTGATGTCAGTGGATAGGGTTTTCCTAGAACAGACACCATGGGGCTTAGTGAGAGTCCCGGGGGGCAGGAAATCCACGAAACCATCCAGCAGAGCCCCGTGGCTTATTGGGACTTGGCCACATGGTCATGATCTGTGCAACTGCAAGATACTTGGACTTTGCCCATAGCCGGAAGATGTTGCCCAGGGCATGCCGAACGTTTGACGATAACAGTCAACTTCAATCAACAGCACCTGGACGTGAGGCATCGTCGGTGCCTTTTAGGAGAAATAACGGTCCTGCTAGCATGTGTGGTATAGCAGTATAGCATTTTGGACATGGATCTGAATGCAGGCCATTTCTGGTTCACGTTTGTTCATGAATATCGAAGGGTGCTCGAACCGACAATTTCAGGGTTACGCGTGCGTTTCACTTTCAGAAAGGCTGATTTCTGCCCGTTCCCGCCTGTACGAAGACATTTTGACTGTTGCAAGGCAAGCACGTGCTCGTACCATGTTTAGAAATCGTGTTCTATGACACGACAACACTGTTCCATGACAAGACAATACTGTTCCATGACGCCGCTGCTTTGTTCCATGACACAGTTTTTTGGGTACCATGTGTAGTTCAGTGTACTGTCGTTATAGTTTAGTGATTTAGTGTAGTGACAGTTTCGTGTCCTCAAGTTCTACTTCAGCGTCCTCTAGTTCTGCTTCAGTGTACTGTCGTTATAGTTTAGTGATTTAGTGTAGTGACCGTTTCGTGTCCTCAAGTTCTACTTCAGCGTCCTCTAGTTCTGCTTCAGTGTCCTCTAGTTCTACTTCAGTGTCCTCTAGTTCCGGGACGAAACCGCTTCATTTCGACACTTGCTGCTTGGTGCTGTGCCTGGAGTCAGCAAAAGCGCCATGGCTCGCTACTCGTGCCGGCTCCCTTGTTCCGGTTCCTGCTTTACCTGCAGGCCTGCTCTTCCCATTCCGAGTGGAGATTCGTGCTAGAAACTGGAAGCATACCATGCACCACTGTACTCGGAGGCCAGCGTGACGGCTCTGGTCGTTTGGAGTGCAATTCTCCAGTCGTTCCTTTGTTAGGCCGGCCCCTTGTTTGGCATGTCTCGTTCTTTCTTTTTTGCCTGTGTTGCAAGAGCTTCTGAAGGACTGCAAGAGCAGACAGAGGATGCTGGAGAGGAAACAGAAGATGCTGGAGAACAGCTGGTAAGGGCTTCTGGGGCTTCTGGAGAAGGAGACCAATTGGCACTGGAAGTGTGCAGTGCAGCCCTGGCTCGTTTGTGGCTTGCATGTGCAGTGCAGCCCTGGCTCGTTTGTGTTGTGAATGCCTAGGGGCACGCGCGGGGAAAGCCCTGTCCAGGTTAGCCAGCTTCGTGCGATGCTGGTTGAGCGAGACCTTGATGACTCCGGCAACAAGGCATGTCGTTTCCGTGTACACAAATTGCCTAGCGGTTCTTTGATGACAGTCCCTGTGAGGCAACCTTGCTGCGTCGCCTTCGTGCTGCTGCTGGGAGTGCGAAAACGTTCACATGTTCGAAGTGCTCTCGGGTCGTTACGGAGATGCCGTGTGGAGACCGAAAGGAATGTTCAAGTTGTCGAACTCTCATGAAGCAGCTCGTGGCCCACGATGTAGCGGTCCAAGCACTGGGTGTAGACTCTGCGACTTTGCAGGGTTTTTTCGCGGCTGTTGCAGCTGCTCGCACTGGTGCGGCGATGCACTGGAGCGATGTGCGAGAAATGTTGTTGACGTCCTTGTCCTCATACCACGAGCTCAGCCATCGCAAAGTTTGTGAGGTCCTGGAGCGGCCGCTCCAGTTTTGGACTAACAATGGTTATGATGAAAATCATATCAAGCTGCACTGCCCAGCTGTGAACGATCCGATGATGGGGCGGCTGTATCGCGGTCAGCTTCGCAGCGAAAAGGAGGTGGACTATCGCAGATTGTCACTGGACCTGCTGTCCAAAATTATGGAGGATACCAGGAAGCGCAAGGAGCCCATGTCTCTGTCCATTCTTGGCCGGTTGTCGGGACTGTGCTTGTTGTTGCAATTGCTTGTTTTGGCAGGACCTTCGGAAAGCCAGCTCGCAAAGGGCCAAAAGGCAGAAGGCCATCGTGCAGGCCTCAAACTGTTCTGTTTCCTACTTTCGAGTCCTGCTGTTCTGTTTCCAACTTTCGAGTCCAACAGTGGGGGATTCTAATGTTCAGATTTCCGGTGCATATTCGGATCTTTGGCGTGATGCATGGCATTGCAGGAGCAGCCCGACTCCTCTGCCGACGTTGATACGTTAACGGTGCCAGCGTTGAAAGATAAACTACGAAGCCGCGGATTGCAGACCACGGGAAAGAAGGCCATGATTCATGGCCCACGAAAACCTGCACATTGAAAGGGCCCACCCCATGGCTGTGCCACATTGCCAGGCTGATCTGCTGGCTCGCTTGAAGCAAGCGCTCAGCGAAGAAGGTGTTGCTCCACCAAGTGACTGTGCGGGGGCCTGTGTTTGGATGGGGGCCGTGTTCTGCATCGCTATCCTTGCATGACCATCTCTTGAGCAATCTTGCTCAGGCTCAGCCCCCTCTCGCTTGGCCGTCAGACCTGGGCGATGTCGAGCAGCGCAAGAAGATGCTGCTGCAAAGGTGTGCTGACAGGCTCCCCTTCATGTTTCAGGAACGTTTTGCTGTGGATGTGTGGCTTTCTGGACTTCGTGACAGCAAGAATAGTGAGCTGCTCAGGTGCAAGTTTGTCTGTTTCGGGCACGAGAATGCAGGAGTGACATGTTACTTGCAGGCCAGATGCTGTGACTGCTACGCTCACATATACACGGACAAGGTTTTCCTTTCTTTTTGCCTTCCGCTTGAACAGGCAACGTTGACTATCCTGGCTGTGCACAAGGCGAGAGAGAGCCTGCCCCTGCAGCATGAGTTAGATCACAGCCTGTTTGAGGAGCTTCTGAGCGGACATGCTGTCGACGAGACGCTGCACAAGGACTCTGTTCGGAGGCCGCGCTCAGGCTCCTCCCCCAAGGCTTGCTCGCCTGTTGGCAGGAGATTTCTCATATCATTGAAATGTCTCGAACCCGAGTGGTGGACCGCCTTCTCATGGCTGCTTGGCCATGATGGTCTACCTCTTTTTTTTGGTCTCTTTCGCTTTCTCAAGCCACAAGCGACTCGTGATTTCACTCCAGGTGCAGCTAGAGCAGTACTTGGCCAATTTTGATCTGGTGTCCCGTGGCCTGCAGGCGGCCTATGCTGACACGCGGGCAAGTCTCAAGCGAAACCACACAGGATGATGTACAGAACCGTCTCTCGGGGTGATGATGGTCGCGGGGGTCCGAACCAAATGACTTACTGTAGCGCAGTCTCCGTGCTTGGCTCTGTGCCTCAACCCCGAACCCTGCAACCTCAACCCGCAGGGTTCTGCGTTTTTGGCAGCCTATGGCAGGAGGATGCCGTTCGCATTTTGGAGGAGATTTTGCCATTGTGCTTGGTCTGATGTCTTGGCACAACACTCTGCTCTCGAGATCTAGTTGGTGCTGTCCTTCCCAAGCTTCATTTGTCGAGACCCTAACTGAGGTGCGGCGGGCTCGAGCTGACTGTCAACATGGTGACCTGTGCCAGAGCCGAGGCGTTCCAGTCGCTCAAGCTGGATGCTCTGCGGCAGCACCCATAACCATTCCATTTGTGGTTGAGGAAACACGGGGGTCTGGGTTTGCTGCTTTACAGCTTCATTCTGGCGTGCTTGTTCTGCTGCCAAGCCCAGGATTCGCGAGTTTCCATCCCTCCTTCCGAGCCACTATACATTCTTCGCATACCGCTGTCCGATCTTGAACTTAAACACGCCAATGCATGCCGAGGGCTTCTTGTGGCTTCTTCTAACTTCTTGTTTCTTTCGTTGCTTGCAAGGAAATTGCCGGCCGCAAGGAAAGGAACCTGCAACTCATGCTGCAGGACGCGATATTTGCAGAGGCGCATGCCTCTTTGTGCCATTCTTGCTCTGTGGGGCCTTTGACTTCCTTTTCACAAGTGCAGAATTGCTTTGTGCAAATCACCAATGGAGAGACAAGGTGCAGAATTGCTTTGTGCAAATGACCAATGGTGATACCGCTCGATTCACAGCAACGAGAGCGCTCAAGCGTAGCCATGGCAAGCCCCTTGCTTGCACTTTTTCAAGGCACACTCCGGCGCTGCGTGTGATCCATTGTGACACCCAGGGTGGCGCCGCTTACGCTGCCTCTATGCGTGCAACGATGGCGTGCAGCGGACAAGTCCGCAGCGGCTAGCTCCAAGAATGCAGCCTCCATCACTGTTCCTTTCCAGGTTCACGCCTTGGTTGTCCGTGTGCCTTCACCTTCAATCCCGAATTTTCATCCTAAACTCTGAACCCTGAAGTTTAAGAACTAATGAGCGTCAAGCCTGCAGGGGAACCCAAGTAGGGTTGGACGGTTTCGAGGTTTACGATTTAGGGTCCGACTATTCCTACTTGTGCTGAGGGATTGCAACTGCCTCTACTACCGCCGTGCCACTCCGACCTGCGCCTTGAAGATGTGGAGCGCTTCGGCTTTCCATTTCTCGTGTCCCTATGCCAGCATATAGTCCCGTGCAGTCATCTTACTGTGCAGCTGAGGTTGTGGGAGTACGATCTGCGCTCTTTCCTTGTGCATGAGGCGCGACCAATGTTTTTCGCAGGCTCTTGACCGTTCATTTCGACGTGTTGTCAGGGCACGCTGGATGGCGGTCACTTTACTGCCTATTACAAAGCCGATAGATGGTACATGGTCGACAACAGTTGGTGCACGGGCTTCTCGGCCGCGGCACCTGCCTAGCATTGGTTTAAGCGATGGCACTGGCCGATGATATTCTCCATGCCACTATTTTTTTGCCTGCTGCAGCTCTCACCGACGAGAAGGCTGTCAGCGCGGCCAGTGTTGCATATCTGCTTCTTGGCGTGCGATTCCCAGGTTCTTGGTAGTGGCTCTTTCATGCTTGCCCTGCATGCCGAGGCTCGTGTATGAATTGAATGCTTATGCGGGCATGACCAGTGGCGAGTCGCTTTGTCGGACAACAGGCCGGCAACCAACAGTCATTCAAGCTGCCATGCTTTGAGGCTCTTTGATTTTACTTTGCAGGATCTGCCGAAAACACCTTTCCACCTACTCTTGTTCCTTGGCGTTTTGGGTCCCATTTCCAACCTGTTTCTGACAATCTTTATCTCTTCAGGATTACGCCGCACCGTCGCACGGGGGTCTCAGCTTCGAAGATGTCCAGGAGGCCATGGCCCACATGCAGATGTAGCTGCCAAGCATGAAAAACGTTCTTGCCAGGCCCAGCAATTCGTACGTGGCCTCCGAGGCCGCGTGCCACTTATCGACTTGGAAACTGAGGAGGCCAGAGCGTGGGATGCTGGCCTCCGCAGGCAAACCCTAAAGGGGAAGAGGGGTTTTTCAGCCTTTGGGCTTCGGTTGAGGATCAAGGGTTTAGGGTTTAGACTTTAGGGTTTCCTTGACACTTTGCCCTGAAGCATGGTCCCTGAAGATTCGAGGGCTGAAGGCTGCATAGGAGCTTCAATTTTTGAGGCAAGGTGACGACAAGAAGGAAAGGGTCTTGGGTTTATTGTTTGGGAGCCCACCTGGGAGCCCACCTTCAACCCCCCAACCCCAAACCCTAGACCCCAGACCCTGAACGCCAGGCAGATCGACTCCCCGCACCCTCACTTACCCTAAACCTTAAAACCCTCAAGACCAACCCTAAACCCTAAACCCTAAACCCCCAGAGCCAGTCTTTGAAACCCCAAGCCCCTCAGGAAATGCTTTGAGTAACGATACAAAAAGGGGACGTGGAGTTTAGGGTTTTGGGTTCTTGGGCACAAGAAAGGGCAGGATGAACATATCCCAAGATGAACCCAGAGAATAATTGCCCCACCTGCGGAAACCATAAGCTCTATAACGGTTTAGTGCTTAAAGTTGCACGACTGCGCCCTAATCCTGTATTCCTGGTAGCCCAGGTAAGGGCTAAAGTTGTCAGTCTTTGGGGTTTCTTTGTTTCTCGGATTTCGGGTACTCGACAGCCTATCGTCCCAGCCCAAACAGAGCCTGAATAGCAGCCACTATCATCCCAATACGAACACTGCTCAAAATGCCGAAATTCAGCACGCAGGTGAGAAGCTCGGAGAACGGAGCGAAAGTGATCTTGGTGCGAATCGGAAATTAGCCCAGACAGCACACTCTGGCGAGAGCTGTCAAAAAGTTAAGAAGGCGTAAGTTTGCAGTTGATTTGACGTGGTACCTCGATTTTCGAGGCGGGGTTCATAAATTGCCGTTTCAGGGTTCCAAACCCACTCTTGTTTCATGGTTCGCACGCGTTCTCGTTGCAAGGCTCTCAGTCCAGCGGCGGATTGGCAGATTTGTGGCAGGAGAGCCGCATTTGCCTGCGCTTGCCGGCTGTTGTGTTGAACATCGTTCTTGAGAGCTGGTTTTTGCTATAACTTGTGCTTCGCAGGAGAAGTTGGCCTTTGGCATTGGGCTGACGCCAGGGACTCAAGCACGCAGCACAGGGTTTCACAGGGCTCCAGGTTGACCCGAATTAAAATTACGCGGCTTTGTTTTCTGTGGCCCCCGGATAGTTTTGCATCCTGCAGCTCCTCTGTCCACCCCCAAGCTCTGAAGCTCCAAGATGCAGGCTCATGTTCATCCAGCAGTTCAGCGGTGTGAACGCCCGGACCTGGGGCCTCGGGAGGGGGGAATTGCATTTGCGTGGAGGGAGGCGCCGTCGGCCTCATTTTGGAACGCTTCCGTTGGCCGGGGAGGGTCGGACGGGGTCTGTGTTCAAGGGCTTTGGGTTGTGCTGGGGTGCATGGGCTCGGTTGAGGGGCACAGAATCTTTCCCGAAAGGGATTCTGCAGCCACCAAGGCCGTGATCTTCTTTCAGAACACCATCTTCATGGATGCAGGCCCCAGGGTGCCGAAAGGCTTCAAAGGAATCGCTTCAGGTTTTCACGCTTTGGGGTTCTGATTCTGCTATCTCTTCTATCTCTTTGACTACTTGGGTCTTTAGGTAGGCAGAGCAAGAACTCTTTGTCTTGCTGCTCTTCTTGCCGGCGGCTCTGTCGTTTCCGCCACAGCCATCTCGTCAATCAACATCATCGACGTGGTTTTGGTTTCCTCGGGAGCACTTGAATGGTGTGTGTTTGGGCTTAGCACCCAAGTCATGAAGAAGAGGTCAGTGTTCGTTTGAGCACCCCAGGTTTCGAGAATGCGGCGAGCTTGGGTTTCCTGGTCATGCTCGTCCAGGCAGGTGTTGCTACTGTTGGCGTGGACTTAGTGCACAGACTGGAGATGCATGAAGCAGGGAGAAGCGCGTCAGGTTCACACTGCGAAAGGCAACGCCCATCAAGCCGAGTGATTCAAGCTGCCCAAATACTTGTCACGGTTCATAGGCTGCTACGCTGACCGCATGTGCGATGGCAAGCTCTCCTCCCACGGAGGTGATCATGACAGCGGCTTCCATACCCTTGATGGACACTGCAGGGCGCAAGGTCTTGCTCCTCATAGCTTCACGGCCGTTATCTGCAGAGGGATTGTTATGCCTGGAGCGAATTTGCCGATACTGTACGTATCCTTTACAGCCGCCTGCTGTAGCTAGATAAGTTTCTGTAGCCATTGCAATGCTCATCTGTGCGTTTTGGAAAGAAGCCGGGATAGTTGCTTGTTCGGTGTTGCACTTGTCCATCATTGCTGTTGGCATCAAGACTTGTTGACAGCGGTGAAGACCTGCTAGTTTCAGCAGCAGCAGCAGCAGATTTCTGAAGATCTTGACCATTTAGATGGTCTTGACAACAAGGCATGCTGTGGCATGACACTGTGTTGCGCTGGCATGGTGATCTTCTTTGTCTTCAGCAGCTGGCATGCAATGTAAGTGCCTGCAGCCTGGGTGCACTGTATTTGCATAGGGATAACATCAACGGGCCAGTGCACCTCTAGTTAGGGCAACAAGCCTTGTTGTTCCAGGCACATAGCAAGACAATGTCAGTCTCTACTTCAGCAGCTCCCATGCTTCCCATGCTGTGTGACCTCGGAAATTGAACCCTCGATCCCTCAGCCTGAAACCTTGAACAATCTCAGTTCACAAGGCGGGCCTTCGTGGATTGCGCTCGTGACACTTGGCTATGCTTTTCCAGGCTTCAGCCTCTGATACATGCTCGTAGCCATATAGGAATCAAATCGACTTCTTTGCCATTCGAACTTCGGTGAAGATTCGAGCAGTCTGATGAGCATTGGCTCAAGTTCTAGCACATGGACCCCTCGTGGCCCAATTAGGCAAATCGCAGTTACCCAAAACTCCACCAACTTACTATGGACTCCAGCAGTCCAGCTTTCGATTCCTCTTGGCTGAAAGCACCCGAGCCCCAAGCTTAAAGACCTGGCAAGCCGCTTGCGTACTAGTACTGGATGTGTCACAGCCGAGTGATCTAGGGAAGTGCGAAGATTGTAACTATAAAGTAGCTGCCGTATATGTTTTGATGTATACATACACACACACACACCACACACACACACACACACACACACATATATGTGCGACGTTTTCTGTATTTATTTATGCATGTTTTCAAAGCAAGCCTGGAGCTTTATTTCATGACTGTGAGAAGCTCGGAATTGCGCAACGCTCATCACTGAGACGCTCTGCAACCGTCAACCTTTCTCCGAAAAGGTAAAGCCCACCTTGCTTCCAAAGAAGCCTCAAGGGTTCTTTGAGGCCCTCCTCCCCTCAGCACTCGTCTCCGCAAACCCAAACCCCTAGACACATCCCTAGATCCATAAGCGGAAAGCCTTTGTTCTTAAGGTCATCCTTCTTGTACATTGCCTTCTTCTCCCTGGGTCTAGGGCCCATCCCGTGGCTCATGATGGGCGAAATCTTCCCTGGCAAGCGCCTTGGATTGCATGCGTGACTTGAAAAGTGGTGTATACGGCTGTTGTTTCGGGTCTACACGCCTTAGAAGGTCGGTTTTGGTGTAGCTTAATAGTTCTTATGTATTCTCACTTGCTGGCCTCGACTTTTCAGAATGCGAAGGTGCGAATGGCGCGGACTTGGGAACCACGAAGGGCTTGTACTGTAGGCTTTAGGGTCTTAAGTCTTAAGGCCCCATCTATGAGGGGTGGTCATATATATATATATATGGTGTTGGCAGTTGCGACATGCAAAGCCCTTGCTGCAAGACCCCTCAATACTTCAACTCGCGGGCGGAAAAGACTGGGGGTGCCCATTCGGGTTCGCCACCTGAGGATCCGTACATCCGCCTCATCCTTTGCGGCGGCCCTGAACTGGATCCCCACTTCCATTTAAGTCGATTTGTGGGGTTCCACCAATGAGTGGCTTTGCGAAGCTGCAAATATCGCAGCTCTCCAGGCGAGGGGAACTCGGCCCGTTTTTGTTCTAGTCGTAGCTCTTGGGTTCTGCTCGTGTGCGTGTGCGGGTCACGACCTCGATCTAGGGTCATTTATGACGGAACTACTGCTGGCAGAGTAGATCTTTGGCCAGCAAGCAGTGCTCCTAACAGTTCCTTTGGATGTGGACCCGGGCCTACTCTGCATGCCAGCAGTTCACTCTGAACCAAGGACCTGCTCCTTCATCACCACCGTGCCCTGGCATAGTCAGCCAGCCGTTTTTTCCAGGGTTGTGATCGTGTCACCATACAGATGGTCCCCCGTGTGCCCTCCTCCGCACTTAAAGGCTCTGAAGGCCCTAAGCCCTTTCAGCCCCAGCCCGAGACTCCTGAACCAAAAAAGCTTAGTTATACGGGTCATGGGTGTGGGATTCAGTGGGTATGGGAAGAAGGGTCATATGTAGCCTACCACTGCCCCAAGCCATACCCAGGAAACTATCTCAGGGCTGCAGGCGCTCATTGGCTTCGGCGGCGTCTTCGGCCGGGGTCTCAATCTCCCTGGTGATGCTGTGACTCCGACATGCTCCCGACCTTTCCCCTGAATCCCGCCTTGGGAGGACAATGACCACATGAAACCACTTTTGACTCACCTCCAGGCCTCTACGCCGTGGTGCTCATCTTTGGCGCCGTCTTCGTCGCCACCTTCGTGCCCGAGACGAAGGCCCCGCATGCTAGCAATGTGAGGCGAAAGGATTCAGACCTCATAGCTTGAGGTGTAGGATTCAGACAGGTGAGCTTGAGTTGAGATTCCCTTATCAATCGGTGTGCGCACCTTCTATGCTTGCTTCCAGTGCAGGACTTTATCTGCATGATGTAAATCTTCTAGATAAAGCCCTTGTCCAATCTAAAGCCCAAGCCTCGTTGAATAGCCTCGGGATATGATGGGATATGTAAAGAAGTGGTACCAGCTGCAGGGTGATGCATGCGGCGTGGGCTCATGGTGTCTGAGGGTTCTCTCGGGCCCAAAGCTTTAATTCATTAAGCTTTTGGGGATGCTGGCCAGGTTCATGCCAGCCTCAGTGCCAGTCTGTGCTTCAAAAAAGAGCTTGGAGTTTGTGGTTTTGTTGGTGCCGGCATGCAGTAAGACCCGAAGCCCACGCCCTCGACGAAGGCTTTCGGAAAAGGCTGCTAGATTCTCCTTGAAGTCAACAGTCGTGAAGGAACGGCACCAACGTGTTCCCCCTTTCCTACAGTTGAACGTCAGTCAAGCTAAACCCAAACTAAAGTAGGTACAGACTACAGAAAACGAGCATAACACGAGCATTTTCGAACTACACACGTGGCCTACACTGAAGGGCCGGTCGTTCGCGGAGATCGAGGCCCGACCGACTGAGGGAGCTGTTTGCCGCGAGCCCTGCTTGGCTCGTTGGGGTTCAGGTCCTGATGGTTGGATATTTGTGGGTAGCCATCGAAGCTCGAAAGCATGCCTTGCTTCTTTGCACGATGGTCATGTGCTCGCGGTGTCGTTTGCTGACCCGAAACAGAAATCCCCCCGCATGAGATACACCATCCCGGCGGCCAAACCTCAAACCGTCCAGCGCCACGAAAGATCTCTGCACCCCCTGATTGCCCTAATGAATTCCAGGGAAGTTCAAAGATGTCATGATTTGGATTCACACACAGACTGCGGCAGGCCATTCTCAAGAAAGGCCGAGGCCGCGATGTACCGCTCCCTCGCGAACTTTGTTTTCGCTGTGGTTCTGAATAGCTTCAGGTTTGGGGGGTGCAGGATTTACGGTTGCACCTGGTCTGAAATCCGGAGGAGTACAAGGGTTTAGGCCACGAAGCTTCGTCAACTGGCAGAAGGCCCGGGGTGCTTGGTATCTAGGGTTGAGGGCTGACCTGTGTGTTGCGACATCTGCAATCTGCGTATCTGAGGCTAATGTCGCCTTCAGAGGCTTGAGCAGCAGCTCGATTACAAAGCTGCAGCTGCGACCATGCAGAGCTGCGCCTCGCCTTGGAGAACCGCAACTGGAAAGTGCTGTCAGAGGTACAAATGGCCTGTGGACACGTATCCTCTGAATTTTCGGTTCTTCCAGGGCAGGTGCCGGGATCCGTCTCCATTGGCACAAAAGTGTGCACGGAGGCTTTCTGCATCGGGGCAGAGAGCGCCCCTTTTGAAGTGGGTCTCCAGGCGACCTGCCAAAGATCGAGGGCGAAGTTTGTGCGATCAATGACAGGAGCATGTCTTGGTGCTAGACTCTGCTAGACTGCTGCATGTGCTGGCGAGCTGAAGATACTGCTCGAGTTCACCACAGAAGCCCCGTCCGCTTCCCAGCGCCTGCTGGTCGCCAAGTCCCCGCCCCTGACAGCTTGAAGAAGCTCGTTTCATTGTTTTGCGACATGTAGCCGACAATGCCGCGCCAGTGGGCCTCAATCCTGCATGTGGAGTTGTTGGGGTAGCCAGTGCAGGTGTGGCCATCTTTTAAGCTTGAACCACATGAGCTATGCCCGAAGCACCTTGGACCCTGAGAAGTGTCTAAGCCCCAGGACCGAGAAAAAAATCGAGTCTTCTGGGGGCTTCGGGTATTTTGCCGGCAGCCCGTTGCGGCTTGCGCTTCGGGCTGCCACAGGTATACAGGACCGATACATGAGGCGCAAGTGCGCAAGGAACAGGTCTGTCAGTTTGGCGTTTTGCTGTTTCAAGGTGCTACGGTTCTAGCAGGCAGGGTTCAATGCAGAAGGCTTAATTACGTGTTGCTTGTTGTGCTCGTGCCACAGCCTGATTCTAGCATGCGAAAAGCATCGTTGCGTGTCTCACAGCTCGTCTCGGGGCCCAGATCTGAGCCACGTCTTTGACTCTCGTCCCCCCTCTTCGGCGGGATCTCCTGCGTCGACATGCTGGTTTCTTTAATTTGCGGTCTCAGTGGCTGCAGAGAGGGCCTTTGGGCGACGCAAAATGGACTGAAACTTGCTGCTTACCTTCCGATGCTTCTAGAGGGGTTGGAGAACGTCGATGGTCTTCCACCCACATTGTGGATAGACATGAGTAATGGTGCATATCAGTCAATGGGTACTTCGGCTAATTGGGCCAAGGCGAATGCCTTCGGATGGTTCACGCAGCAGTTGTGAGCGATGAAGAAGATGTGAACACTACAACAATCCACAACTCTCAACCCGAAACCCTAAACCCTAAACATCCCTGAAGCCTTGCCTGCGCGTGCGCTAGTGTGAGTCGAAACATCCCTGAAGCTTCGACATCTTTCTTCGCAGGCGGGGCGACTCCCAAGCTCTTCCTCAACGCAGTGCTGAACTCGTGTAGCGACTGGGCACACGAGTTCAGGGTGAGGTCATCTTAGGGCTCTCCAACATAAGGCAAATAAAAGGTACAAAAGGCCCCCAATATCTGGATAGAGTACTTGGTAGTTCTCTGGTACCTATGAGGGCTGGCAGCTGCTCATGGGTGTGGCGCTGGGCTTATACGGATAAGGCGTGTTGCCATTGCTAGTCACATGGCTGCGATCTTGATGTCAGAGGGACCAGCTGCAACAGAAGCCAACAGAATTTGAGTTCATCAAAAGCAAAAGCTAGCTGAGGCTTCAGCACGTCCATAAGCAGGGGTGATGACAACAACAAGACGCAACAGGCAAGAAGTCCCCTGACAATTGGGGTGTTCTTAGCCAACCAGACGTTTCGGGTGCTACAGTGGATGATAGAATCCTGGATGACCTGGGTAGCTACACAGCACAAATGCCCATCTGAATCTTCCCCTTGGCCCCATGGCCCTCATCTCAATGTTCTTATGGCGCCGGGATGACTCGAGAATGCAGCCTTAGACGCGCCTACAAGAACAATCCTAACAGTTGGAGGCTGCAGGCGGACACACCGGTGGTGATAACGATGATGATGATGTTCATCATCATCATCATCATCATCAGTATTGTTATCGTTTTTGTTCAGAGTCGTACTTGAGGTCGATATGGCCCTGCGCTGGCCAACCAATCGGCATCTTGATGGCATGTATGTACAGGGGCCAGAAAGTAAGTAACAAGCTTTGTCACAGAGTCTCAGTAGAGGCTTTTCGAGCTGATCGAGCTGTTGGACCTACCTAGGCAGTTGACGTGTTCGGGGGAAAATCACGAAACTTTCCGGGCCGATGTGCAGGGTGTCAGAGTCGGAAAACTATGCTTGTCAAATCGCGGGTGATGACGTCATTCTGGCGCTGCTTTCCTGAGTAGGGCGCAGCATGGTGTTGGGAGATGTGCGCGCCCTCGCCACCAGATGACCTGTGTTGCCGCCTAAGGCAATCATCACCATGTACTATGCTCCTTGGGTGCCATAGTAGGGTTTGTTGTGCTCTGCAACCTTCAAGTTGTAGCATGCAACTTTAAGCTTCCTGACTTTGCGTGCATCTGCCCAAAGATGCCAGCTTTATGCGGGTCTTGCCGGTAAGTGTTCTTTCTGTTTGCCCAGTTGTGCCTCAACTCGATTCTCCTCCCCGAAATGTGTGCTCTTTTCAGGGCAGCAGTCATTGACGCTCAACGTGGCATAGGCATCTGCAAGGGCTTAGGCCAAGAGAACTCTTGGCAAATATATGCTGCAGAAGCACCCGGTGCCTTGCAGCTTCATTGCACCTTCAAACCTTCGACTGCTAAGCCTGACTATCCACAAGGCTCTGCAGCACAGGTCGATACGTAGACCTCTGGTCCAGGATGGCTGCTTTCGGAGCTTCCGGATCGGGGTGCATGCTGTCGTTTTTGCAAACCGGAAAGCAAAGGTTTGCCTCCACGGACTCGTCGGCCAGTTTCGAAGCAACGACGATGGCTTGAATGCCGTGGGAGCAGGAGCTGCTGCAGGCAAGGGACGTATGCTTTATTGATGGTTTACCCTGTTTACCCTCTCATCAACTGCATTTGTGCCGAAGATGCCCGACTCAACCCCAGAGCTTTAAGACGTGTCGCCATCTTGGGAGCCGGCTTCTGCAAAAGGTCCCTGTAAAGCCTTGTGAAGCCTTAGGTTCCCAAGAACTAAGATGCGTCCAAAGAGACCTGTCTTACTTTCAACTGCTTCGGAGCCATCGGGCCTGCTTCAGTTGTAGTGCTGGCAGGTGCAATGTACAAAGTCGCTGGCCGGCCTGAAGCTGAGAACAGGACATGGGACACGAGGTTGCGGTGTTTGCATGAATGGTTATACATATATGTTTTTTGGTTTTTTACTATTTTTTACATATATATATATACATACGGACTTGGATTGCGCTTGAGCTTAAAGAATCCAGGGGTTGTATTCCCTAGTTTGCCGAAGTGCCTGTCGCACGGCTGTTTGCGCCCATCGTGTTAGCAGCAATATCATGTCCACTTCTGAAACGCCCCAAGTTGAATTTCGTTGGCGTACTCTTATTTACTTGAGGAGGCAAGGGTGACCTTCAGCCGTGGGCTAGCAGAATCCCTTCACAATCCCAATAGGGAAGCGCACATGAACATTTCCACCTGACTGAGGTCCTGGCAAGCAGCTGCCAGGTACGGTGGTGCCAGTTGACCCTTGGCATGCATAGCTTGCCACCGTACCGTGGAACCTTGTCGTCGGGTGCAGCGCAGCACCTTCAACACGCCTGTGAAACAAGCCATGGCCTCGAATCCAACCTCGAACAGCGCAATCCAACGCCACAACTCCCCACACATCGCTTCCAGCGGATGCCGAAATAGACACATACGAAATAGTGGGTTGTTTTGCAGCAGCAGAAGCTGGAGCAAGAAAGAGAGAGAGACAGAG